CCGGTCGCTGATCAAATCGTGTTCCTCTAGGTATCTGAGGAGCTTGGTATTAATAACACGCTCCATAACCTTGGAGAGAAGAGAGGTAATAGCGATAGGCCTGTAATTCGATGGGTCTGATCTATCGCCCTTTTTGGGCACCTGGGCGGTGCACATGGGCGGTCTTCCACAAAGACGGTACTTGCCTAGATTGGTAGGAAAGTGCGAAAAGTCGCGTTAGTACAGGGCACAACTCAGGAGCACACTGTTTGAGTACCACTGCTGGTATGCCGTCGGGCCCACTCGACTTATGAACATCAAGACTTAGCAGCTCCCGCCGGGCATCTCTTTGTGAGAAATTTATTTCCGGCATGGAGTGTCCACACCGTGGGATGGTTGGCGGTGCGGCACTTTCATTGACCTTCAAAGTCGAGTTTGTGGCAAAGAGTGTACCTAGTAGATCGGCTTTCTCTTTGGCGCTATGGACCAGGTTGCCATCGGCATTTTGCAGTGGTGGTAAGGACGACAGACAAAAGTTCCCCTCGGCAGCTTTGGCGAGCGACCAGAAGGCTCGACTCCCGGAAGGGTAACTAGCCAGCTTTTCGCCAATTCTCCCGATGAACTCGAATAAAAAATAAACTGTCCCCTAACAGCCCCCTAACCATGCTTAGGGGATCCCTTAAACTTATGTGACGTTGGTGAAATCGGCCATTAGTGTTTTCAATAAAAAAAAATTAGAAACAGTTTTTTTTCAAATAAATAGGTAAATTCTATACCAATATATTTTCCTCAAATTTTCAATAATGATTAGGGTCGAATTCCAACTACTGGGTGAACACTAGCACATATTATTACGTTAGGTTGTCTAGTGCAGACATTTTATCTAGGAACATTTTGTGTACGTTACATAAAGGTCGTCGTGAAATTTGCAATTTCCGTTGATTTCCTTTTGTTGATTCCATCACAAGTATTCACTAACAACCTGTTTGTATTGTAAATAAAAATAAAACTATATATATGTTTTACGTATATCGTTAATATTTGATTTTATGATATACCAACCAGTGAGTTTCCCTTCGCCATTCAGGTACCTCTTTAATTAAATCTATACATATAATAAAATTCTGAGTCGAATCTGTACATTTAATATTTTTTGGAAAATCTTATTGAAATTGTCATTATTATAGAGACAGAAGCCGAATCTATAGCTTTTAGAATTTTTCTCTGTCTGTCTGTCTGTCAGTCTGTGACCGCGTCACGAAAAAATTACTGGACAGATTTTGATGAAATTTGGTATGATGATAGCTAGTTATGCGGGTCAACATATAGGATACTTTTTACTGCGGGAAAATATCTCATCTCTGAGAAATCTATACTAACCGTAGAAACGTAAGTTTTCGTATAAATATTCTCTTAGATTTTCGTGAATATTTGACGTCCGTATTAATTCCGTGTTATTTTTATTAATATTATAAATGTGCAAGTTTGTGAGTATGTATGGACGTTTGTTACTCTATCGCGCCAGAACGTATGAACGGATCTGGATGAAAGGCACAGAGATAGATTACAGTCTGGAATACCACATACATGAATTTTGAATAAAACTATTTTTTCGTGGTATTTTTTTTATAATTATTACTTTCAAATTATTAACACGGTCACAGGATAAAGTGTTGACGTGTCAAAAGTCATAGTTGTACTGGAATATTAATTAGCTTACATTATTCTTAATCCATAAGCTATGTCTATGCAAAATATACTAATATTATATATTATAAGTGTTAAACTAAATCTATGATGTTTGATTGCTTGTTTGTTATGTTTTCTCACTTAAACCTCTGAACTATGTCGATAAATACTGGCTTACAAAAGATTGGACGTTAAGAAGAATATAGACTATGTTTTGACGCATAACTGAAACTTGAAGGGAGTGAAAAAAGGGAGATAAAAAAAGATAAAAATATATATGTATAATATAAAAGATAGTAGGGCAGGTAGGGTAGGGTAGGGTACTAAGGGATAGAAAGGACCAAAACTCACAGTGAGTTTAAACGTCGGTCAACTTGTTAACTAAACCTAAATACAACACTTAGAATGCTTGATGATTAACCAAATACTAGAGACAAACTTATAGGGTTACAGATCGTGAGGTCTTTGGTTCGAATCCTGCAATTCCTGGGCTATCAAGCTTACGGAATAGTTGCTACAAGTTATATTGAACCTAATAAATATAATAAATAACATAGAATACTAATAAAACGACAACACTCCAAACTTATTTTGAACTATCCTCATAATTTACTAAACTCGATATTTCACACCGAATGAAAAAAGAAAGTTAAAATAAGGTACATTTATACTCAGAAATTTCAAGACTTTTGTAGAATAAAAGAAATACACGATGTAGCAATTTGTTATTTTGAACAAAAATAATATCGTAATTTTATCATTTCATATAACACAAAAGTCTTTGTAAAAGGATATTTTTAGGGTATGTTTAATTTATATAAAATAAGCTCCACACAGTAAAAACTTACTACATCTACTTGTCTGTTATGTTTAGATTTATTATTTGATTTTATTATACTAATAACAGGATCCCACGACGATGGTAGTACCCAGCCATCTTCCCTATTGAAATTTGGATCCTAGCATCCAGGTAGATGTAGTAAGTTCTTACTGTGTCTAACAAAATGACAGCATTTCAGATTAATATTTTCCATTTTTCACTTGTAAAAGTATATAGTAATAGTGTTGCTTAGTAATTTGTCTTTTTAAATAATAGCAAACTAAATTAAAATTATTATCCTTAATTAATTTTAACTTTTTAAATTACACATAGAACAATTATATGGCTTCAATAATTAATATTATATTTTATATTTTTCTTTATGGTTATAAATATAATAATACACTAAATATAGATTACTAATTAATATTTTTGAAACTGTAATAATTATATTGATATCAGCAAAAATTAAATAAATAATATTCCATATTCAATTATAAAACTAATTAAAATTATAAAAATGATTAAAGTTAAAAAATATTGTAAGGTAATTTAAATTTAAAAATTTAAAATTTTATTTTGTTAATTGTGGGTAGGCTGTCTGTAACAACTATACCTTCGAGACATCTAACACCTCAGCTTCTCCCGTTACCATGAATGTTGTAAAGCATTCGAAACGTCGGGAACCAAAAATCCAAATAAATCCGCAAAAAAATCCGAAAAGATAGTTTTATTTAAAATGTAAAATATTCGCGTAAATCTAAGAAAGTATTATTAAAAAAATGGTCATATTCTATCTGTGCATTAAATATTAATTCCATCCAGATGGGAACATATTATGTATTACTATTTTCATATCTACGAGTATAACAGGAGTACCATGGTTCGAGAACCGTATTATTTACTGCCATAAAAAACTTCTTTAGCATACTCTGCTCAAAAGGGCAGCGCCATCTATTGATATGTTAAGAACAACAGCATTGCTAAAATTACATTTAATTGGACATTAAAATCGCGGAGGCCTCACCAAATTAAAAATGATTTTTTGTGTTAATTGAGATATAGTATTGGTCTGAGATATAATTTATTTTTTTGTATATGTCACGCTATATTGTGGTCGATGGCAAATCGTTTATAATTTTTGTTTATGTATAATTACGATATCTGTTTCTTTCCAATTGAAAAACTATGATTATTTGTCGTATTTAGCCAAATTTATGACATATTTTAAGTACCTGAAATGATGTCATTTATACAATGTAAGGTTAAAATGAAAAGCTGTCTAAACCGATTTATTTAATAGATTCTATACGCTCAAATCAACTCGCGTTCAGAATTTTGTCTTAAATTATTTGAATAAATTGAATGTTCTTAGAAGCTGGTGATTTGTCATTCGTAACAAGTGGAAAAAAATCCACTAAAGCGACCTTTTCAATTTGAAGAGAATAAATTTAGTAGAAGATGCAAATTTATGGTGTTTGCATTAAAACAGTCAGTAAGAATTTAGAAGAGTTAAATAAAATTACTTTTATTTCTTCTATGAACAAAGATTTATAATCTATACTAATATTATAAATATAAAAGTTTGTGAGTATGGATGTTTGTTACTCTTTCACGCTAGAACGGCTGAACTGATCTTGGTGATATTTAGTACAGAGATAGATTATAATATGGAATAACACATAAGCTACCTTTTATTCCGAAAAATTAGGGTTCCCGAGGGATAGGTTTGTTTTTGTTTTCCTAGAGGCGAACCCGAGCAAAGCGAGGGTGAGCAGCTAGTAGTTTATAATCTGCACAGGTTTTGGTTTAGCAATATGCTATTTACTTTGGCACAATTTACTTTGCTATAATGCTATACATTATATATATATGAACAAGCCATATATGAGCAATATATAAAGCATCGATATATCAGCACGCCAATTTGTTGATAAGTTTTTTTAAAGTTATACAAACACCAAAAAATAAGGAAACAAGTTACGTGTAAATTAATATATCATAAAAATATTGCGCTGTAAATAAAAAACAAAGAGTGTCCAACGATATTTTAATGATTGAAGCGATTAGCATTCTAGTCACGTTTATCGTTAAATAATGAAATAATTTTGCCATCGAAACATCTTTGTAATACTTCGCGCGATCCTGGCGGAATACAGTAAATTAAGGGCGATTACCGCAACAGCCGAGCTATTTAAGTATAATTTAGATTTATTAGATGTGCTTGAAAACCAAGAAGTTAAATTAAGGCCTTAAAAACGACTTATAAACTTTTTATACCATCTAAACATTGAAGTCGAACTCCAGAATATGAATTCTTCCAATCTAAGAAGTCAAAGTTTCGTATTCTTTGTTTTTACTTTCAAATGTAAAAATATGTACTTTATATATTGTTATGATTTTTGTTTCAGATGTAAAGAATGGATATCAAATTTTCTTCTAAGTAAAACAAAGCATCAAAGGATAACTTAAGCTGATGTATTGCTGTTTCTATATATAGTCTATAAGCAAAATGTTGCACAGAACATCCTCTTCGAGAAGACGTAGGGCGTCACGGAGTGCTGCTACTTCCCCTCAAACTAGATCTCCGAGGCCATCAGCCCAATCTTCTCGACGCGCATCACTAGCAACTACAGAAACGGACGATGAACTCGAACCTCCACCACAAAGAAGTCCACGAGCAAGTTTAGCCCCTGATGCTGCATTAGATACATATCATAGGAGTCCTCGTCACTCTCTAGTTCCTGAGACAAGATCAGCAAGAAATTCTATTACACCAGAAACAGCAATAGTCAGAAATACTTTGGCACCTTCTAGAAATAATTTAGCAGTAGATCAGGCATATGGATCACGGCTGAGCCTTAATCCTCAAGATTTTAACAGAAGTCCAAGAAATAGCATAACTCCTGATATAGCAGCTAGAAGTCCAAGAAGAAGTTTGGTTCCAGAAGGGACATCTTGGAACCAACCAAGAAATTCTTTGGTACCAGATGTAGGTAGAAGTCCTCGACATTCTGTTGCAAGCATACAAATCGACCCTGCCAGGACTCAAAAAGAATTAGGTCCAAGTCCAAGAACTAGTCCAAGGGGAAGCATAGCACCTGATAGCTTAAAAAAGGAATTTCCTGAAATCAATAGAAGCCCAAGAGGGTCGTTGATTCCGGAATCACAAAGAAGTCCGCGTGGCAGTATAGCTCCATCTGAGAGGAGCGCCAGGGGTAGCTTGGTTACAGGTGAAGTAGATACTGCGAGAATAAGCCCAAGAGGCAGCCTTACTCTTACTTTTCAAGAACCACTGGTATCCAGAGAGCGGCGACCAAGTGAAGACAGTCAATGTGCTGGTAAGACAAAATCTTTGCAATATTACACAATATACTGAATGAAGCATTGTCAATTGAATAATTATTTGCCTATTTATTAATGTAGTTTATTTGAATGATGAAATAAGTTGATAGGAATCTGTGTGTACATATTGTGTAATGATCAAGATTTACTTATCAATAACATATATTATTATCGTTCCTATATAGGTAATAGAGGCCGGAGTGTCTCTCCATACAGAGCTTCTGTTGGTGGCCGTCAGAGTGGGACCGGTGGCTTATCAGATACTGGGTCTAGAAGAGCTTCCAGTTCCGTTAGCCAAGTAATATATTTTAAATTACGTATTTTTATATACTTTGGGGTTTTATAATAAAATATTAATAATTATTATCAGACAGCATTGCTTAAACATATATTTTTTTATATTCAACAAGCTTAGATAGGATAACATTTTGCAATTATTTACGCTAATAGAACATTAAGTTTATTAAGCCCAACCTGAACCCAATAGTCTGGACAAGGACAATTAAAATTTCTATCCACTAAAGATTTTTAAGACATTTCGCATTATTGACTTATTATTACTTTTACTAACAATTTAAACAGGTATCGGGAGATGAGCAACGAAGATTATGTGGGGAGCATGCGAAATACAGCGACAGAACTGGCTTGGGTTTAGGCGTTGGTCTCACCACCTACGGATCAGTCGCATACCAACTGAAAGATGCAAATATGGAAGCATCGGGAACAGTGGATTTCGTATGCCGTGCAGCAAAAATTATGAACAGAACCAGTAAGTGGCATTTATCTCAATTATGTTATGGTTAGATATTGTATGTCAATTTCAATATTTTAAACACCAATGCTTTGTCAAATTAAATAAATGAAATATAATTTATTCAAATAGACTTATACAAGCACTTTTGATATGTCAGTCTGTCGTCCACTACCTGTTGTACTGTGTGTGTATATACGAGTATGTATGTGTAATGTGTATGTTTGCATATTATGTAAGTATTTATTATTAGTTATTTTGAAGCGAGTACCCTCACCCATATTTTCTCTTTCGTTTATCCTCTACTCTAAGGTTAATTGGGAAGATTCCTCAGTTAGCGATAAGGCCGCCTATTTTGTCATATCTTTTTGAAACAGTTTTTTTTTGTATTTTATCCGTATGGAAATTGTGCAAAATAATAAGCGTGTAAAAAGATCTGATGAAATTTTTAGCACTTCTTGAACAATGCGCAATGACATTGGCCAACATATTGGATATGTGGAACAAACAAAAAAAATGTAAATTATATTCTGTGAATTTTGACTAGTAGCAAATTTATTATTTTCAAATAGATTAACTACTGACTGCTTTAATTTTTATCGTAACAACTTTTTATTTATTTATTTATTTTTTAAATAATAATAAATAATAAATATATTGGGACATTAACCCACAGCACCATCTAGTTCCATGGTAAGCTACGAGGCCTGTGTTATGTATAACAGATCGTTGATACACTACACAGTACATATGTATAACTTTAAATATATACATATTAGAAATATAAACACCTATGCCTGGAGTACAAACATTCATGCTCATCACACAAATGAATGCTCCCTGCGGGACTCGAACCCACGACCGCTTGCACAGCAAGTAGGGTCACTACCAATGAGCCAAACGTGTCGTCAAATTTGGCTGTTAAGATTTTATTTAAATGAAAGTTATCCGGAAAAGAGAGTTCATAGCTAGTATATTATATGATCCGTCCTCATAGTGATATCGCCCCACCTGCTGAGTACCTTTTAAATTTATGTACTTACACTTCTCTATTTAACCGGTTTCAAAAAAATAACAAAATTACGCAATTCAGGTATAATTTTTTTTATTTATGTTAATCGATTTTTGTAAAACTTTTTTAAATTAGGGGGTTGTCTCATATAAATTTTAAAAGAAAGTTTCAACCCTTCGATAATTACATTTAAAATCATTTTGAAATCGGTAAAACTTTTTAGTTAAAAAGTAATTAATTATCTGTCTTTTGTTTTTGTCGTGTGCAACAAAATACTTATCAATCTGTGTAAAATACTTCATTCTTATTCATATTTTATCATAAAAGTAGCTAATTATTTATCACAGTACATAATATAAATGGAGGAAGACATTTGAGAGACTGTTTTAATTTCCTCTACACCTTGAGAGCTTTTGAAATGCTCCTTTGAAGCTTAAGTAGTACAGAACATTTATTGCAGTACTTTATCTAAAGTTTCCCTTAGCTTAGCTTTATGATATCCAATATATAACGGATAAACTTTTTGATTTCAGTTTGTATTTTATACCAATTTATGCTAAAATATTTGTTATATTTACATTAGGGCGTTGGCTTTAGAAGTTTGTTTTCCAAAATTCACCTTAATTTCCGTATTATTATTATGTATTAATTCATATTATTATTATTATGTATAAATTCCTATTCAGGGTTAATATTTAATTTTTAACAAAACTTTCTTGTTATTTTAACTTATGAGTTTCATTGTATTTTTAAACTATAGATAAAATTTGTCTATATCCATAACTATAGAGGTAGCATTATTTTTTCTAAGATCATTTTTTAGGCGATACTTATCTTATGTATGTTTGCAGTCGTGATGACCGTGTTCCTGGCCTGCCTGTCCACTTTACCAGTCATCATGCTTATTATGGGTAAGTACAAAATAATTAAATGTGTGTAACTTAAACATTCCAAACCAGCGGCTCACGCTCGCTTCTCTCAGGTTCGTCCCTAGGTACGCTATAACGGTTAGTATGGAATAGATAGACTATATAATATATAGGTATGATTAGTTTTATATCCCTTACAAACACAAATAAACCTATCCCATAGGAACCGGGATTTTCCGGGATTAAAAATAGCCTATGTGTTATTCAAAACTATAATCTATCTCTCTGCGAAATTGCATCCAGATCCGTGCAGCCGTTCTGGCGTGAAAGATTAATAAACATCTATACTCACAAACTTTCGCATTTATAATATTAGTATAGAAGTATACTTAGATTTTGAATTACAGTTAATTCACTTCTATTCATCACTCGTCAATATACTTGTACTATAAATGTATGAGGCTTTTCGGAAGACATCTTTAATTTTAAAAAGAAGTATGTATATTGTATATGTATATACATACAGAATAAAAACAGACCTGATATATAACATTTTTACTCGCTTAAAAATAAAAAAATAATAATATACGTATTACGTAACTCATGTTACATGTATAGTGGATACGCTATACTAGGCCTGCAAAAACCTCGTAAAGCTCGAAAAGCTTTTACTGCAACGCTTAGCTTCCAGTAAGAAACATATTTTTTTCTAAGTTTACATTCTTTAGTCAAAAATTTCCTTCGGTAATTTTGCAAATACCTTTTTTATTACGTAGAAAGGAAAGTATACGAATGTGCAGGATTGTATGGAAAACAACTGTATAAAGGATTGGTGTAGAAAACAAAGAAAACATTAAATCAAATAATAATATGAAATAAAATACATATTATTACACGCCATACCCGAACATTATGCACCCAAGCAAAGCAAGGGTATGCCCCAAGTAAATTATAAAATTGAATTAAAAATTACTATTAGATATAACTACGATGGAAAAACCTTATATGTACATAGTTAATTCTAATATTCGTCCTCTATAAATTCCGTAGGGAGATAATTCACAACTCTACAAAAAAAGAAGTTTTCTTTGTCCTAAAGTTTATTTTATGATTTAAAATAAAGGACAAATAGCCATATTCCTTAAAAAGCTTGCTTTTGTGGTAATTATGATAATAGGTAAATCCTTTTTCTTGAGTTATCATATTTGAAAAAAAAGTTCAATAGTTCTAATGTTTTTAAAAATACGGCGAATTAATTTAATTCAGAAGAACAAGGAGAACGTTTTTATCAAGACATGATGGACTTCAAACACCGTTATCGGGGCCAACACAACTAAAATACGATGGGTTTTTGGGGCTTAGTGAGAGAAAGTACTTATAAACATGAAAGAAAAAGTAATAGGGTTCACTTCTGGACTTTTTTCTACAATTTTGTAAATTTTTGTATTATTTTGTAATTTGATATATTAAAAGTTAATACAAATTTATATATAAATATATTGGTTTCAATTTATTTATAAACTAGCGGCTCACCCTCGCTTCGCTCGGGTTCGTCCCTTGCTTGATTCCCCATACAAAATTTCATTCCCAGTTTCACTCCCTTAAGGGATGATTTCCGGGATAAAAAGTATTCTTTATCCTTTCCAGGGTCTCAAACTATTTTCTGACCAAATTTCATTTATATCGGTTCAGTAGATCCAGAGATATTACTCCCTACAACGTCACAAACTCACAAGCTCACAATCTTACAAACTCACAAAGTTTACCTCTTTATAATATTAGTATATACCTAGATAAGTAAAACTTCATTTCGCTTGAAACACTTTTATTAAAGTATTAATTCCGACTGATTTTATTAAAAATGTAAGTGATTTTAGCTCTGATGCAATATTCGTATTCGAAGTTTTAATATAATTATTTTACAGGCGACTTAGCGCAGACATTAGATAACGTAATCTCTACAAATAATAAAATTGTGAGTCTAATCTGAATATTAAATATTTTTTGGAAAATCTTATTGAAATAGACATTATTATTGTTACAGAGGCCGATAGTTTTTAGAATTTTTATCTGTCTGTCAGTCTGTCTGTCTGGGAACGATCACAAGACGATGACATCACTGCACAGTTTTCGATGAAATTTGGTATGATCGTCGCTGGTTATCCTGGTCAACATATAGGATACTTTTTACTGCGGAAAAATATCTCATTTCTAAAGTCTTTACTAACAGTTAAACCTTTAAAACAGTTAAAACCTTGGGACGAGCCCGAGCGGAGCGAGGGTGAGTCGTTAGTTTATTATAAAAAAACTAAACTTTAATATTTCCTAAGATGATAGGAAATATAACGATTGAAGTACCTATCTATAGACTGATTTTGTAAGAGTACCTAACCAAAAATTGATATAATATTCGTATGATTTTCTTTATAAATATGGATTTTTAATTGCCTTCCCCGGGATGAAGAAATGAGGATATTCATTTTCAAGGAAACCAGCCAACAGAAAAGCATTGATATAAGTTAGTACTGACATTTAAAAATTACATGTTCTTCCGTGAGTCTGCGCCATCCCAAATGAGATCAAGTAATCTCTGACTAGAAACATTTAAAATAATTCGACTCGTTCCTTTGCACAGATAATGAAATTCAATCTTGTATTATCTATGGCAGTGAAAAATCGTTCTAATGAAAAACACGCTCCAACTACGATTACATTAAAAAAGTTAGGTATTTTCTCTATTTCTTTTATTCTTGTAATTTTATAGAACTACTTCTTTTAACGATATCATTAGGTAGTAGTCTAATTTATTATTATATATTTACTTCATTGCCCTTTTTAACGTCCCATTACTGTCTCTAAGTATAATTGTCTCAGTAGTCTATTGTCCTGGTTGTCCTGGGTTCGAATCCCGGGTCGGGCCAAGTTCAGTTATTGAATATTCCTATCAAGAAATTCTCAGTAACAGCCTCAAGATGGGAATTTCGAAGAGCACGTAAAGCCGTCGGTCCTGCGCCTTTACTCTCATTGCGAGTCTCGAGTAGTTGTCCCAACAGAGTATGAGAGTGACAGGAATAGAGAGTGAACTTGTGTTAGTGCGTATACTTGGGCACTATGCTGTGACCTGCGCAGATGGCTTGTCTAGTGGAGTATATTATTATTATTAATGTCCCGCTGCTGATCACGAGTCTCACTTCAACACGAGAAGGATCAGGCCATCCTCTTCCACCATACTGGCCGGATGGGTTGGCGGATTTCGCGTATCTTTCGAAAACTTGCTAAGTTCTCTCAGATATGTAGTTTTCCTCATGATTATTTCCTTTACCATAAGGCAAATGGTAATCATGTTGAAAATAATTCGCACATAAAAATATTAACGAGACCCGAGGATTTGAACCCGCTTGGTTTTCCAAGAAAACTCGTTACCACTGGGCTACCACTACGTTTTCATATACCTATATTACAAATTACTGTTTGTATGTGTGTATGATTGTTTATTGCTTTGCCCTTCTTTTGCACCGCTAGCTACTTACAATCTGTATACATCACAGCGATCCGTGAGATATTAAATTACTGGAAAGGGTTCACTTACTCCATCAAAGGACGGCGCAGTTTAGCAAAGGGGTATGATAGGGAAGATTGATTTAGCTCATATGCGTATATTATTATTATCAACATATAATAAGAAATTATTTATTGTCTATTCCTCTGAGAAATCTTAGCTGTTGAAAAGTCGTTTTGATATAAAAGAAGCTCGTCAACAAATGTAAAAGTCAAAAATAGTAGCGTGTTTTACTGTTTATGCTACTATTCTCGATTTTGTCGTACATATTGCTTACTTTCTTCAAAGAAAAAGGAAAATTTTATTTATTAACAATTATTTACTTGTCATAGCAATGATTTTTCTATTAATATTTGTATTTTGTTTTAAAACATATTGTATTAATTCATTATTGTTTGGCTTCATGATTAGTTCTATGATATTCTGTGTACGTATATTATTCCTTGGTCTGAGGTATTAACATACGAGTTAGGTTTTAGAAGTGCGCAACATTTTGTGGGCTAAAGTAAATATTTTTCAAAAACCTTTGTATTAGAAAAGTTGCCTACAGCTTTTGAAACTTTAATTAAGACCAAGTTAAACAAAAACTTAATTTTAAAACAAATAATATTAGCATTAATTAATGAACGCTTTTCCAATACTGGCAGAAATTAGAATACGGTCTGAGGAGTCACTAATAGATATATGAGAGAATGTAGGAAAATAGAAGAACATATATAAAATTGGAGCTGAACTTATGTTTTGTTTAGCAGACACTTTGAGGGCTATTTTTTTAACCAATTTTAAAATAAATTTACTTTATTACTGTTATTTAATCTGCCATGTACATAGTGAAAGCTGATATAGAAAGATATTTTGGTTATATTAGCAGAATTTTCTATTGAACTTTAGTAAGGAAATGATTCTTTGAAAATTACTATAACTTAGTAACTTATATGACACTAGATACTTTCCCTTGATTCACTTGGCAGTATATATGTATAGTTTATTATAAGTGAAAAAAACTACAGAATCAGATCAGTAGATTCAGAAATTCTCTCCTACATCAAGACTAATAAATTTTACCTGTTTATAATAATACTAACGGCTCACCCTCGTTTTGCTCGGGTTCGAACACAAAAACAAAAACAAACCTATCCCACGGGAACCGTACATTTTTCCGGAATAAAAAGTAGCCTATGTGTTATTCCAATCTATAATATATCACTTTGCCAAATTTAATCCAGATCCGTTCAACCGTTCTAGCGTGAAAGAGTAACAAACATCCATACTCACAAACTTTCATATTTATTATATTAATACGGACTAGTCACTCACTCTCGTTTCGCTCGGTTTCGTCCCTAGATACTTTTTAACGTTAAGTATGGAATAGATAGACTATATATTATTGATAAATAGCCTTATAGCCTTACTCAATAAACGCGCTATCTAATGCAAAAAGAATTTTTCAAATCGGATCTTAGTTTCTTAGATTAGCGCGTTCAAATAAACTAAAAAAATAAACAAACCAACTCTGCCTCTTTATAATATTAGTATTTAGTATAGATAAGTATAGGTTTATTTTTCACTGTTTCATAATAAATAGAAAAGGTTACTGTGTCTTGGCTTTTAGATTCGGTCTTCTACTATTATGTGTCAAAATGTAGGTATATGTGACTATATGGAGTGGGCATAGGCCAGGGTGTAATTTAATAAGTAGCTAGTATTATACATTTAACAAGACTTCTTCCAATAGTTTTTTAATTAATGATGCACTGATTAATTACCTAGCAGATAAATGACGAAAATAGCAGAAAAATAAAACCTTCAAACTTATTTATAAGAAAAGGACAAATCAATGATAAATAATCTTTACTACTTATAACTTTAGATCTCATCAGGTTTTTATCTTTCTTCGGACATCTGAAAAATGGTTTGCTTATTGCGAATAAGTCAGTGTGCTAGAACATGGTAGCTTATAAGAAATAATGTTTTATACACACACACACACATATATATGTATATATATGTATATATATATATATATATATATATATATATAATATATATATATATATATATATATATATATATATATATATATATATATATATATATTCTTTATTGCATATTAACAGAGTAACACAGATAATACAGAGAACAATGTGGGCAAAGGTGGACTTATCTCTAGAAGAGATCTCTTCCAGCCAACCTAAGGAAGTGAGAAATAGTGTTATATGACGGGACTAAAAGTGTGCAATTGATTTAAGATAAAATTATAAATAATTATACAATTAAATAAGATAAAAAAAACACATATAATGATAAATATAAAAAAAACTTACATATTATATATATATATATATATATATATATATATATATATAAATTAGATGAATCTAAGACAAGTTTTGGCATAATGTCATCAATTTTAAATTTAATCATATCAAATAAACATCTTTATCATTATACTTATGAAGAGCAATCCGCAATTTGTCCCACCTAATCCAGTAACTTGTTGTAGGTCAACATAATTGCATATACCGTGTTTAAGCGGCGTCCAAAGCTTAACTTATGTTTGGGGTTCGTACACAAACAGGACCCAACCACAAATACTTGCCACCAAGTCTTGCGAATATTTGCACGACAGGAACGGCTCGTACTAGTACTTCTACAGAGAATATCAACATAATCTAGCCTCTCATGTAGCTCTCATGTTCTCCTAGCCGATTCCGGCTACGGCGGCCAATCTCATTGAGACTGCGCAGGAGATATTATAGTGCACAAGTGTACGCGCAGACACACGTGCACTCTCTATTCCTGTCACTCTCATACTCCGGTGGGACGACTTGCTCGACACGACCAGTGAGAGTTAAGGCGCAGGACCGACGGCTTTACGTGCTTTCCGAGGCACGGGGATGAAATACCGCCAACTTCCCAACTCCGGGCTGTTACTGAGACTTACTATACAGAAAGACTCAATAACTAAACTTGGCCCGACCCGGGACTCGAACCCAGGACCTCCGAGTATGCAGTCGTACCTAGCACCCATATTATGTCGTTATGAACCTGGAACTTTTACGCTCTTAAGAAACTGGTCCCTAAGTCTTATCATCTAAAAATTTAGTTCAAATGTAATAATTTCATTGTTTCAACAGGTGTCCAATACATTCGTGACTGTCCAGCTGAGCCTCGGATCCCAGTGTACATGGTGGTCGGTGGTGCCGCAGGAGGTGTTGGCATATGCTGGCTGCTCTGGGCTCAACTCGCAATCACAAGCTCTAACTCTAATGCGAGTGTCCCAGAGCGAGTTCTCGCTTATACACTCACTATATTCCTCATGGGATGGTAAGTTGTCAAGATCTTTGGTAGGTCTTCTGTCTAAGGCTACTATATAGTAGGGAGTTAGGAGACTAGTGTTTGAATTGGAAATAATAAGCAATTCAAAAGAATATACACAATATATTCAATAAATTATTTTGACACTTTTATCGAAAGTCCTAATTTTAGATGTTGACATCCTCCATGCTCTTAACGAGCGCTTAGAATATTTATTTACTATCCAGTGGTTTTCTCGTGATGCGTTCCTAGACAGACAGACAAAAATTCAAAAAAATATAGATTCGGTCTCTGTATCGATAATAATGACTATTACAATAAGATTTTCCAAAAAATATTTAATGTAAGATTCGACTCAGTTCGAATTTTACATTGTACATTGTACACGTGTTGTGACTTTAATACGTTACATTTTATGGACATTGTACCTATACGAGGTATTTGTTTAAAATGCCGTGATTTGGCTTAATTAGACTGTGTGATCGTTTTAGTATTAGCGTGCTAGACTACACGTGATAATGGACCCATTTATCTCGTTTACTAGAGAGTATAAAGGAAAATATTATCAAAATACGTAACAATTGTAGTACTGACTTACTCAATACTTAAACATTCAATTTACCGAATTGTACTCGTACATTGCATGTATGATTAAATAAAGCATGTTACTCAACCATCTTTGTAAACTTTTCTAGAGTTTCTTTTAGGAAATATGCAGAATTAAAAAAAAATTGGCTCGTATATGAGATGATAATAAATAATAATAATAAATCTGTTGGGACATTAAAACACACCATCTAGTTCCATGGTAAGCTACGAGGCTTGTGATTTGGAGACCAGATAATTAACAGATTCACTGCACATATATAACTTTAAAATACATACATTTTATAAATAAAAACCCATAACTGGAGTACAAACATTCATGCTCATCGTCATCAAAAATGAATGCCTCCAGCGGGACTCGAACCCGCGACTACATCACTACAAACTGAAACCGAACGTGTCGTTAAAGCTATGGGATATGGTATAAAATATTGTAGCTTTTAATTTAAAGTATTTGTTGAAGTTTTTACCGGCTCTTTTCAGCAGAATTATTGAGTCAGAGTTTCCTTCTGACTAAATTACAGAGTCTCTTTCAAATGAAGTTCACGATTGAAAACTTTGCCGAAATCAAAATCAATAAATTAATTTTATTCTATTTTGAGTGATTTTTATTGCATGCAGGCATATCCAAAACAAAGCTGTTATGAATATAGAAAAATGAGCTGTTAGGTATTATTATACCATTTTTTTAGTTGATTTTGTGATTTTAAGAAAATTTTGGCCTGAAGTAAATTTGACGCTGCAAGCTACAGACAACTTTAAATAATATAATAATGCTTCGGCAAAAAAATCTAAATTTTCAACGCGTTAAAATAGGCCATTTAAATTGAATTTATTTAAAAGTTTATAATGAAAACGTTCAAACTGTCTATAAGTAAGTTTCTAAATAACGTCCTTTATGTTTTATTCTGAAATTTTTATTTGAAAAGAAATTTCTAAGAAAGAAGTTAAAAGTACTTTCAGAAAAGAAATACTGCGATTGTTGGATATAGTTTAAGATTCAGTCGAGTATTTTAAATTCCTCTGCTTTCATTTTGTTCAATACACACGATTCGCTCGGATTTACCTCTAGAAAACAAATACAAATCTATACCAAAGGAATCGTACATTTTTCAGATTATAATCTATCTCTGTGTCAAATTTCATCCAAATTTGTTAAGCCGTTCTGGCGTGATAGACTAACAAGCATCCAAACATCCATAACTTTTACTTTTATAATATTAATAAGATATAATAATTATGTACAACGTTAAGTGAAAATAACTCTTTCTGTTACCTTTTTACGAATAAACAACTGAATAGATTTCGATAAAATTTGGTAATTTGGTAACGATTGTATCCTGGGGACGGATATAGGCTTCCTTTGATCCCTACCCCGATTACCATGCGAGCAAGACCGCGGGAAAAAAATTATTATTGTATAAAATATATATTTGAGAAGCGCAATTGGTTCTCTAATAGATGTCTGTATATATTAGGCCAAAAATAAAATACATCTACCAATAAGTACGGTCTGATTCGAACCCACAATAACACGTGCTCAAATATAAATTCTTACTAATATTAAGTACGCAGGCAAAGTTTTTTGTCCTTCCTTTACATAGCAACACAGCAACATCTCATTTTTCACATACATAAATCATGAACTGGAAAGAGATATAAGCTGTTTTTCTCAGTGCATTTAATGTATGTTTCTGCGAAGTATTAGTCTGTTGCAAAAGTACTTGAAAAGGGCATAAATGTTGACATCTGCAAGTAACTACATTCTATCTTTTGAATTAATTTCGAATTTGGACTTTAAACATAAATAAAAATAAATATGGTGTGTATTATATTATAACACTTTTTTAACACTGATATTATTAGAATTACAATAAATAACTATAAAATATGAATTATCTTTTTTTACATATAATTTTAATTTTAACTAGCGGCTCATCCGCTCAGAGTTGTTCCTACTTACTTTTTAACGCTACGTTCGTTTGTATCCTATATTTACTCAGACATAACCAGCTATCATCACACCAAATTTCATCAAAATCCCTACAGTGGTTTTTTCGTGATGCGGTCACAGACAGACAGAAAGACAGACAAAAATTCTAAAATATTCTTAAAACTATAGATTGGCCCTATATCGAAACAAATACAGTAACATTTTCGCTCACCACCTCTTAGTCTATGCTAGATTGTATCGCGGTTTATATTTTGTAAAGTATATTTTTGTCAGCGATACGCTTGACGTTAATTGGAACATTTCCCTCGAGGTATCATTGGAACGCCTTTGTTAGCGATTCACTTTGCGGAAACGTTGTTTTTGATTAATTATTCAATATTATTTATATTACAATTATAACACACTTATGTTATTTACACGTGCGTACTGCTTACTATGCTTGAATTACTCGGTAGTAGGTTCGATTTATGTACGAAAACTTTATAATGACTCTTAATATTTCTCTTAGTAATAGTTATATATTTTTTTATTTATTTATACTTTATTGTACACCACAATCATAAAGTAAATACAGTAAACAAAATATAAAAAAAAAAACAGAAACAAAAGTGTGCACATAAGGCGGTCTTATCGCTAATTAGCGATTTCTTCCAGACAACCTTAGGGTTAGGAAATAATATGGAGGACTATACGGGGTGGATGGTGTAAATATTAAATATTATATACAATACATACCGCAATACGACATATATATATATATATATATATATATATATATACTTATAACCTATTTCAAATTTCTCCTGTTGGCTGTTAAGGGAAAATTTCAGAAAAAAATATTTTATTGAAAAGTATTTTAGTCTGAGAAAAGAAGACTAGCGAATAAAAATAGTACCTACAAAATTTAAGTGAAACTTTTTTACTGGGATTATCTTCATTTAGGCATAAAAAACATTCAATGTCTATTGAAGTTGATTTATGTAAGGATTATAGTAGTTCTTTATATATACGGTTGAAAAAACTGGACTAAGTCGTGTATTATTTGACGGCATGTTTGGTTCAGTTTGTAGTGATCCTACTTGATGTGCCAGCGGTCGCGGGTTCGAGTCCATTCGAGGGGGCATTCATTTGGTCATAAGCACGAATATCTGTACTCCAGTCACAGGTGTTTATATTTATAAGATGTACGTATATAAAGTTATATATGTGTAGTATATCAACTATCTGGTATCCATAATACAAGCCTCGTAGCTTACCATGGAACTAGATGGTGCTGTATGTTAATGTCCCAACAACATATTTATTTATTTATTCATATTATATCTAATATAGAGTATTATATACTTACACTTATTACTTATTACACGTAGCTTTTATGATTTTTTTAATATAAAACAAATAGACATGAACTGTAAAGGTATAAAGTGTTTTAGTTCATTGAACCATTTTCATACATTAAAAAGAAAATAAGTAGTAATACAGGAGAAAAATTCATTTGTATTTTCTTTAAAAAATTCTTCTACCTACGCAATCTTTTTAATATCCTATTAATATTTCAAGATATAATAAAGACAGATATGATTGAATAATAAAATGAATATAATTATAAAAATCATTAAGTTTAATCTTCAAGAAAAAAATTGATGCCTTCGTGGGAGGTATACTTATCAATGTGTGGGCTTGCATACAAATATTGAACAGTATTTATTCAGTACTGGTGACTTATTCTCGATTCTCTCATCGCTAGATGCCTATTAATAGCTAAGTGTTACTCCAGATTATAGTCTATTTGTATACTGAATTTCATCTAAATGAATCTAGCCGTTTTATTCGGCCGTTCATGAAGGAGTAACAAAAAAATACGCACACTCATACATACAAGTACACATCACCAAAGTTTGTATGTATGTATGTACATACAAACTTTCGCATTTGTAGTAGTTCAATTGAGCTCTGCAACTCATTGGGTGTGTGCATTGGAAATAGGATGGGTGAGTGAAGTGGGTTCAAACCTAGGTTTCACTCATCTGAGTATTTCAGTGCGAAATTCAATTTCAACATTTTATATTACGAAATGCGCAACGGTTAAGTAAAACTCGTAAAGAAACTGCTCAAAGTCAAACTTAACTAGTTTTCGAAAGTGTGAAGTTCGCCAACTCACATTAAGCCATCGTGGTGACCGAATCTTTCTCGCATTACTCATGAGTACATATAGACGATAAAAGTCTGTAGTATTATAACTGAGCTTTATAATATGAATGTCGTCGAACATTTCTATTTAATTTGATTCGACAGTGAAGGACATTGACCATATTTTTTTCATTAAATAACACTTTTTGTAGCTTAGATAAGTCATAATTCGCAGTTTTAATTCAAAAAATACTGTGAGTAAATCGAAAAAAATGATACTACAGGCAAGAAAGATTAATTACGTTCTGCAGTTTGATTTATTCATAGGTAAGTATCACAACGATACGTATACACGAATTTCTTACTATACATATTGCTACTAATGATTTTCCTAGTGAAACTATTGAGCTTCAGCAAATCCTCCTTTATTTAATTACTTCTACATAATGCCCTGCAAAATGACTATCACAACTAAATTAATTAAATACTATGTCCCCAGAGTTGGGTGTAATGTGGCGCCAGCTATCTTCTACAGATTACACTTTACGCCACGGTGGATGACGATACTTTTAAAATATCAATATTTAAAATATTACAAACTCATATCTGTATTAATATTATAAAATTGTAAATAACAAAATGTAATTAATCAACATCAAATTAAATATTATAAAATATAAAATTTAACTAACAAAATATGAAGAATCATTATAATCTAATAAATAATGAATAATATAATCAATTGAGATCCTATCATTAACAAGAATCAATTGAGCAACTATTATTAAAAATATATTTATTTTTTATATATTCCTACATTAGATCAGAGAATAAGCTACAGTTTTATATTTTCTTTTAAAATTATTGTTATGTATGTTAATCTAATTTCTTTAGTTCTTTAGTAATGCGCATACTTTTTATAAATATAATATCTATACAAATAAATAAAATTAAAGTGTCTATTTGTAATGTCAATAAAATTTAAATAGCTTTTTACTAAATACATATAAAAATATATACGGTATTTATAAGAAAAAAATATTTTTTAAAATTTTAATTCAATCACTCAAAACATAATAAATTATATAGTGCTATAGACAAATAAAACTTCAATTTATAAAAATAATGGTGTACAATTATGGTTATAATAATTAATAAATCTCATAACACATCTAACAAAGCCCCTCTATAACTTCCTTTAAAAATGAATATGAAACAGTAAGTGCTTACTGACACAAATTGCTCCTAATTTATAGGGTTCCATACACCGAAGGATGCTAACGGAACCGTATTACTATACCTATGTACGAGTATATATCTTTATATTATAATATGTATGTATGTATATATTTATAAAAATAAGTTTTGTAATCCTATTTAAATGAAAATTCATATTTTTTGGCCCGTTATAAGACACTATTTCACACTTCCATGGCTTGGTTCGAAGAGATCTCTTCTAGAGATAAAACCACCTTTACCTACATTGATCTGTATCTTATTGTATGTTTGTGTAACAAAGTTAATGTGCAATAAAGACATACAAGTATATAAATTTGGTTCGACGTAATTGATCCCCAAACTACTACCCCAGAGGGCCAAGCTATATACATTTATAAGGTACAATAACAATAGATTACCCAATTCCATTAGCGATAATCCTACAGTCGAAAGCGATGAAATCAGTCACCGAAGATGTATGAGGGGCAGGTGTCGGCTGCCACAGTAATTAACTGAAAGCAAGCGGTGTTCTACGTCTGAGATTGAGCGCTGCACAATGTGCTTGTACTGGGGTTACCTTTTGAAGTACTCGTATATGGTTATTTAGATATAAGTAATTTGTTTCATTTTAAATACCTAAAACTTTTCGGATTATTTCGCGGATTTATTTTGATTTTTGGTTCCCGACGTTTCGAATGCTTTGCAGCAATCATGGTCACTGGAAAGACTAAGACTTTAGACATCTCAAGGGCATTATATATTTACTTGTTAAAGATAGTGCGTACCCACATTATCACAAAATTATTCCAAAAATTCAAAAATTGCACCAAAGTGCCTTACAATATTTATTAGTTTTCATTCTAAGCATTCGAAACGTCGAGAACCAAAAATCAAAATGTGAAGTCCGCCAACCCGTACTTAGGCGGCTATGGCCTGATCCCCCTTGTATAGACAGACGGGAGTCCCGTGCTCAGCAGTGGGACATTAAAAAGGGTTGAATACATACATTAAAAATCTCAAAATAAGAAAAAACCAGCTAGATCAGAAGGTAAACAGACAGATTTGTTACTCTGTGAGGAAAAGAGACTGACACCGTCTGATGCAAATTTTTGAATCATTTATTCTTGGCTCGATCCAAGATACGAACCCTAGACTCTCAACTCAGTTATATCAGTTATATAATAAACCATTGAGACAGTTGATGTTTTAAGAGACTTCATAAGGATATGATATAATAACAGACTGAATTTATGATGTTTCATTTTTTTTGTTGAATTAAATAACATAATGTATTTAAATGAACTATTAAAATCGTTTCAGTGACAAATTTTCTTGATAATACTAATATAATCAACTGGTAGCACTGGCTGCGAGAACAAAAGAAGAGTACGTGGTTACGCTGCTTGCCTATCTATAAAGCTACTAAGTCAATGCTTATATTAAAGCCACAAATTGCTTTTCACTTCAATAAATACCCGTAGTACGAATAAGGTATTATTATATTATGAAAATATCATGCAGTCTGTGCAAACAGCCTAACCGACATTTGTAAAAGTAGGTTCAAAATACTTATGAAAGTTACTACTTATAACATGTTGTTTTTTTTGTCATATAAAGGATTTTAATTTATTAATTTCTATTATCAATACAGTATTTTATTTCCTTATAAATAAAAAGATTGCGCATGCAAGGTTTGTTTGTTTGTGCGTGTGTGTTTATGTGTGTTACGGCTTAATCCTGAAACCGTTAGACTAGACGGTTATTAGTATAGACTAGTCAGTCTGACTAACACTAACTGAATCGAATAGTCGGTCAGACTATTCGACTCAGTTAGAATTTTATTATATGTATAGACATATAATATAATTCTGAGTCAAATCTGTACGTTAAATGTTTTTTTTTGGAAATTTTATTGAAATAGACATTATTACCGATACAGAGACCGAATCTATAGTTTTTAGAGTTTTAGTGTGCCTGTGTGTCTGCTTGTGACCGCATCACAGAAAAACCACTGGAGGGATTTTGATGAAATTTGGTATAAGCTTATCAGGGTCAGCATATAGGATAGTTTTTACTGCGGTAAAATATCTCATATCTGAGAAATCTATACTAAACGTTAAAACGTAAGTAGACAAACCCGAGCGGAGCGAGGGTGAGTCGCTATAGTATAATATATATAAATGTAATTTTAAGGTTATGCTGCTTTTGCACTAGCTTCTTATAATCATTGGTTTTAAACAGGTTTGCGTGCGGCAACTACTGGACACTCGAGATCATGTGGCCGGACTATGCACCGACTTTGTTCGAACCAAATCAATGGTGCCATAGAACACTGTACGTGTTCGCTTTGACCCAGCTCAGCGTGGTGTGGGGGGTGATGGCATTAATTCTCTTGCTGTTGCTCGCTCTTGTCATTTGCCAAGTAAGACTATTTTGATATATTATATGCCAATTTTTCATTTGAATGTGACTTGTTTTGTTGAGAAAATTTTAAATATTCTATAGCACATCTTAATATTTTATCGTCAGTATTATTGTTCCAGGAATATGTTAACATAATAAACATAAAATTAAAAAAATTTAAAAACATAAAAATCTACCATAAAAATCATCGCATTTTTAAATTACAATTTTTTTAAATAATATAAATTTCTAAGCATTATTCCTGATTCGTGAATCACATAAAACGACTGGACCACTTCAATAAGATGTATATGGTATACTAGCGACTTACCCTCACTTTGCCCGGGTGCGTCTCTAGGTATATTTTTTTTGAACAGAACCCTAATTCTTTTTCTAAAATAAAAGTAGCCTAAGTAACTACTTATAGCCTCAGCTATCTGCCAGTGAAAGTCTCGTCAAAATTTTTCCAGCCGTTTCGAAGATTAGCTGAAACAAATAATCAGACAGACATACAGTTATAGATTTTAATAAGTCATTAAAAATCTTAATTTTTTTGTCTTGAATAAATTAAAATTAGTATTTACATTTTATGCATTCCCATAAATTGCTACAATTATATGTATAATAAGACGTAGATTAAATTTAACTTACTTTGACTAGATATTCGGCTGTGGTTGGCTGGGACCACCAAGGTATAAGTAGCAACGGCGTAGTGTCGTGCTTGAGCTGTGGCACAGGAACATCAACAACACAATGGACGTAGCCGGAGCCCTACTACCATTCACCCAAGTCGTCCGACCAGAACTAACTATACACGTTCAAGAAGTTCTCACCCAAGCTGAGCGTGAAACAGAAACGAAGCTCAAGATCCCAGAAATAAATGAACCAGATAAAAATGACGACGGAGTGAGAATTTCCAAAAGTGAGGTAAATGAGGTAAATGGTAGTGGTAATGGTAATAATATAAATTCGGCCTGATGGTTGTTGGTCGTGCTACCGCATGGCAAAAAGCACGTACACTTTGAAGCAACAGATAAAATATATTACTTCTAGTGAGTGAAAGACGCAGCTTTTCAGTGCTTTTGATACGTGCTCAAATGTATCGCAATATTTGTGATATTATAATTTCCTAAACATTTGGACATAGGTAGGTGGACTTGAGATTTGTTCTAAGATCTAAAATTAAAAATAAATTAGTGGAAATTCTGACAATTGGACGAAATTTGCCAGATTATTATGGAACTCCTCGACCTTGCCATATAGCTATGGAGAAATTGCTTTAATTTTGAATAATTCTTAGCATGTGCTTTCTGAGTTTTGGTTTAGATCTCATCAGTGCCACCTAACTACGTCCATGCATAACGCTGCTATGTAAAGTATTTTACTTTGCTATATATAACAACGAATATTTTTTAGACTCCTATGTATCCATGTAAATAATTTAGGAGTATTTGTGGCCAATTTAAATGTAACAATAGTCAACATATCGAACGATGCATATTAGTAGATGTATTTTGTGTGAATTATTTATGTATCCAATGATTACTGTGTTGTTCAATTTATTGTATTTGTGATTTAAATTTGAGGCTTGAGACGATTTAACCCATTTAGTATCTCAATCCACTCTCCTTTTCTCCATTTTTATTTGAAACCTGGTGGGATTGTTCTTCTAATCTTTATTAACTTACGTTCTAAATGAAGTCTAAATAAACAGCACTCCTTATAATCTATACTAATATTATGAAAAGGCAGAGTTTGTTTGTTTGAACGCGCTAATTTCTCAAGAACTACTAATCCGAATTGAAATGAAAAATTCTTTTTGCATTAGATAGTCCGTTTATTGAGGAAGGCTGTGTATCATAATATAATATATAGTGTTTCTATTCCATACTAACCATTAATACATACGTATATACTATAATTATTATATTATAATACTTGTATATTATTTTTTTAAATTTTAATTCAAGTGCTATTCATAATTAGTCCTGTAATAATTTTTCATTAAATTCTCAGCAAAAATGAGAAAATATTACCGTAAAATATAAAAATCAACTAAAAGTTAACTCGATCTCTCTGAGGATTATATTAAAAATAATTTTACACCTAATTATCTCAAGTCTCAAATGAAAATAAATCATAGTAACTGCGTGGAACAGGCTTTAATAGATCGTGGATTAACATGATATTTTTATATATAGGTAAAGTTTGGAGGTATTTTGATGTGCTTTTGGAAAGCTCGCACTTTGCGACTCTTTTATTTTGTGAAAATCACTACTTATGGTAATTTAATATAGGAAAATGAAAATTAAAAACTTATAGTGTTTGAAAATAATATAATGTAATAAATAATAAAATCTTATAGCCATAACCTCTAGTAGAAATTAAACTCGTAACCTGTATGTTCCTCTCTACAAAGGGTCTACGTCATGACTCTACATTTGCATATCGGTACTCGTATTAGACTATACTCTTATAGGTCTCTATTTATACATACATATGTATATATTATAGCGCTTTATAGTATACGTGGCTTTTACAGTGAAATTGCAAAAAAAAAAATTGCTGTTTTACGTCTTAATGACATTGTCATAACATTTTTTATTATTTTATTGGAAGTTTGCAAAGTGCGGCACTTTTACGATGCAGCGCAATACAGTTTATATATGTATATAGGTAGTATACCTTTAAAGCATGGAAAACGTGTTTTTGTTAATTTCCTTTGCATATATGATACAAAATAAACTTATAGGTTATGTTGATCCGTCCGCTGCATTCCTTTTACTCTATAAATATTTATTTTAAATGACCTGCCATATAAAATCTACTAAAATTCAATATTAGATATTAAATATATTTGTTTATTTTTAACTGAACGGTACGAAATATTTAAAAAGAATTTTTGAATGCGAATATATTATATTTTCTAAAGCTCTAAATTTTATCACTTACAAGACTTACGTTTATTTCTATTGTAAGGAAATTCAAATGTGATAGAGTTTAATAGAGTTTTCTATTAAACTCTATCACGTTTGAATTTAATGACGTCCTAAAATAGACCAATTTACGATGGAACGCTTTTTATATATTTCTACCAACAACGTACCAACTTAAAGGAATTTATTATATTTGTAAGTGCTTGGATATGTAAGTAAAGGAAATATTTAACAGCAATGCATTAGAATTGACTCTATGTAGAGATTATAACTTTATTGTATAAAGAGTATAAAAATATTATTAGTCTATATTTTGACGGACGCCTGCTGTAAATTCTATTTTGGCTGTATATTTAACTTGATGGAAAAATTTATATTGGACTATAAGTACTTCAGGACAATTTAATTAGAGATTATTAATTACCTTGTTTTCTTTGAAATCCTTATTTATTTATCCTATTTACAGTGATTCTTTAAATTGACATAACTTTTTTATTTATAAACCGATTCAAATAAAACAAATACTAAATGTTACGTGAAGCCCACCTTAATAATCGGTTATGTCGTTTCTGAGATTAGCGCGCACAGACGCACAGACAAACAGACAAAATAACTTTTTAAATTATCGCGTTTCATTATTATATAATAATGACACTACTAATGGGACTTAACGCGTGAATTCGTAAGTGGCTATATACCTTGTTCCCGTCGTTTCGGCTGGGTTGCACCAGCCGTGGTCACGGGCAGACTTCCTATTAAGCCCCGTAGTGTGATTATTGTATAAACAGATAAAAAGTCTAAAAATCATTGTTTTAGGTTCTATTTTGTTAATAAAGACCCCCAATAATAGATTTTCTCAAATATTTTCCATGTACAGACATCGATCAGTTACACTTTTATTATATGTATAGATTAGATGATATAAATAATGAAATATGATATAAAAATTATAAATCAACGTATTATTAGTATATATAATAAATAATACTTCCTTAATATGAAATTATAATTTAACAGTTAAAAGTAATAACAAATGTAAAATAACATAAATATAAATAAAATTAGTAGATGACTTATAAAAAATATTAATATATAGGTACTTATTATACATTATAAATACTACACTTATTCAGAAAATAATAACAAAGGACGAAAATTATGACAAGAAGGAAACATTTTACCCATAATTTCAAATTTTCGATAATAATTGTATATAATACGTATGATGTAAATAAAATTTTATCAGTGATTGTCAAAAAATGACAAAAATGACTCTAAACCGGATGTCAATGAGGTGAAAAATAATAATGTCAACTATAAGGGTGGTCATACCCACCCCATACACAAACATTAAATAGCAGATTGATAAATGTTATGTTTATTTTTGTTATAATGAAATAACCGATATTATTATTGTTATTATTTCCATAATAAGCACTCTACTTTTAACTGAAAATTCAACAACGATTATAAACATCTCGATAATTTGACGATACGTTTGGTTCAGTTTGTAGTGACCCTACTTGCTGTGCCAGCAGTCGCGGGTTCGAGTCCCGCTGGAGGCATTCATTTATGTGATGAGCATGAATGTTTATACTCCAGTCATAGGTATTTATATTTATAATATTATGTTTGTATTTAAAAATACATATTATGTGTAGTGTATCAATTATCTGGTATCCATAACACAAGCCACTTAGCTTACCATGGAACTAGATGGTGCTGTGTTATAATGTCCCAACATATTTATTATTTATCAACATGCTTTTCAGCCATTAGAAAGATAATCATAGGATGAAAAACAAAAGTATTTTTTTTCTTCCATATTTAGTCGAGCTTTAGTCTAGATCTGACGACTGAACAGTCAACATCTAAATTACTCATAAGGATTTTAAGAAAACAAGCTACATATAAAAAAATATATCTATATTTTAATACGATTTCATATACTTTCTTTCATTGTTTTACTTCCTTCCGTTACCCATGTTTGGTAAAGCATTGGAAACGTTGGAAATCAAAAATAGAATAAGATAGTTTTATTTAAAATGTCAAGTACGAATGCTTAAATCTAATAATAAATCTAAGAAATAACACATTTTATCCGACTTCCTACATTTGATTATTAAAGCAAGACGACGAAAAATTTAGTTAGACGTAGCGTAGTATACTCACGTAGCATGCATAGCTCGTGCTAGATTTGGAGGCTTATTTCTCATAAGGAGCAGAAATTTTAGTTAAAACGATTGAAATATTTACATTTCTTGTTAAAGAAATATTCAATGTGGAACATCCATTGATATATAAAAACATAGATACACGTTTCCTAACAAATATCTTTTTAAAAAGTGGCGTCGACCTGTGACGTTAAGTCAAACTAAATAATAAAATTCAAAAATCGAAAGTTTTAATTGTCTAAGTACTAATTTGAATTTACGCATACCACCTAAACTACTCGTACGTTTTTAAACGAAACAACGTTTTAATTTAAAAAAAGTGTAATTTATTTTGAATTGTGCACTTATTTTTGAGGAAACTTTTGAAACGCTGTTGAAAATCTTAAATTTTTGTATATCAATGAAAACATCATAAATTTTCTTTGAAAAGCAGTACTTTTGTCTTCTAAAATTTGTAGAGAATTAGTGTTCCATACTCAGACTCTATTCTGATAAATAAATATGTATGTAAATAAAGAAAAAAAACTAAAATAAAATTAATGAAAGAAAATGGTCTGACCTTTTCACTATAAATATTAATTGTATGCTACAGTCAGAAGACAAATGCATATTTTATAATTAAAAAAGAAGACCTAATAGTCAAAGCATGTTTTGTCTCTTTCTTACTATTATAAACCTCCATTCGATAGAAAAGGACAGAACATTTTTAAAATATAATTAGTTAAAACTGAGATAAAATAAGTGTATGCATAAGTCCGCTAATGTATCTATATATTTAATATAATTATATTATTTAGAGATTTGAAACGATTCTGGATTTGGGAACATAGAGATAACTGCGTAGTATTTTTGTGTAACAAAAATTCTTAAAAATATCTACTTATATTCTGTAGAATTTATATAACATATAAATATATTTTGATTATTTAAATGTCTAAAAGATAATTTGAAACTCGCACTTCGGTTTGAACAGTATTATTAAATATTAACGCACTTGAAAAATCCTTTCTTAGCACGCTGAAAGTTTGTACTTAACTTAGCTAAAGCTTATTGAAAGCTTAACACTTAACCAATATAAAGTCATTACTTAGTAAATTTAATAACACTTTTAATAACACTTTATTGCACTAAAAAATAGTACATTAACATAAAATAAATACAATTAAAGAG